AAGAGGACACAAATATCCCAATTGATTCAGGTGATGAAACTAACGTATCTCATCTATGAACCAAGTAAAGTAGTTGTTCCACTACACAAATTGCTAGGGAAGTTGTAGCAGTTAGGAAGGATGCAACAGATAGTGGCACCATTGATGATTGGAAGGAGAAAGATGTGTTGCTAAAGAGTTGGATCTCAAACACCTTGACCGAAAAAAAGCATGCACCTAATTGTGGGCTGCTCAACTGCCAAGGAGATGTGGGAATGCTTGAAATAAGCTTATATTCAAGCAACAAAAATAATTAATTTGGCTAGAGGTTTAGGTCTCAAATACAAGACCTTTGTCATATTAGGTAAGACACCATATTCCACCCTTAATCAATTTGTTTATACTCTCACGAGTTTTGATATAAGGGAAGATGAAGAAAAGGTGTCACAACAAAATCATAACACGGTATTCTCTGCCCAAAAAGGCAGGGGAAGAACATCAACTCTAGAGAAACAAACATCACATTCTTACCGAAACATTGACAAAAATAAGTTTTTGCTGGGTATTCAAAGTTTTTTTTGCTGTGTATTCGAATCAAGCTAGGAGTAACGTTCCTCTACTCACTAGCTTGAGGGGAAGTGTTGAAAAAGAAGAAAGCTGACGATTGGAACATGTCAAAGGAAGCTATGACTGATGTGTCTGCAACAAGTCTTGATGAAGAAGAAAGCTGACGATTGGAACATGTCAAAGGAACAGATCCAACGAAGCTGACTAACGAGTTTACAACACTGCTCTAGAATTAGAGTCGCAGGATTAGACTACTTATATTAATTAGGATTATATTATGACTAGAATTATATTATAATTAGGATTATATTACGACTAGGATTAGATTATTTATAATTGCATTATTATTATTATTATTATTATTATTATTATTATTATTATAGTAGTAATAGGTATTGTAGTAGGACTTTAAGTATAATTAACTTAGGACTCTACAATTCTCTCATATATAAGGAGCTTGTAACCCAATATTATTTTCATTAATACAATTCTTGATAGACGTGAAATTTCTACAAATACATCCTAAATTTGTTAATAATACTGAAAAACAATTTTTTTTATCAGAAAAAGAAGTATAACGTGCATGGGTACTTTGATTCAAACATCTAAATTGTGGCAATTTGACATTTCAGCCTTATTGTCTCTTTAAAGACTTTTTTTTGAAAAAACTACTTAGATGCGTTTGTTAATCAACTTAGGACCCGTTTGGCCATAGATTTTCCAAGTAAAATTTGAGAAAAAAAATTGTAAATAATATTTGTCCATACAATTTGTCATTATATATTTGGCAAATATTTTTGGCAAATAACCCAAATTCCCAAATACTAGGAAAAACTAGTATTTGGATCAAATCTCATTATTTGGGATCTTTTAAAAATTCAAATTCTACACCAAATTTTTATCTTTTGCAAAAACACCCTCTATAGTAGTTGCTTGTATTGTATTACATAATTTTTTACGTGAACACCAAAGTAGTGATGAAATATTCAGTGAATATGAAAGTGATGATGTGATTGTTGATGAAAATGATGAACAATCGGTTCAAGGTAACAAAGTCATTTGTTTTGTCTACTTCACGTTGTATAGAATGATGTTTGTTGCACTTATTCCAAACTACCGCATTGCTCCAATACTTGTTATTTGTTGCAATGAAGATCCAATTGACTTGTAATACAAACTTATAGTTAGTTTTGATTATTTTTAAAACTTATGGGTATAAATCATATTTTTTCTAAATAGTGAAATATGTTTCCCAAATACTATGGCCAAACACATGGTAAAATTTCGCCCAAATTTTCACCCAAACAATATTTATAAAATATTTGAAAATCTATGGCCAAACGCTAGCTTAATATAGGAAAAGGAAATAACAAGGACAATAGAAAAGATCAATCAGAGTTGTGATAGAAAGATAAGTACTCATTCATCATTAATCAAAAGTCTTAAATTCGCGTTCTCCTTAGTTCGGAGTCCCTAAAATTTCTTAATGCAAATTTGAATTTAATTGGACAGATGGGAAAAAAAGGTCAAAAGAAAGAAGTTTGTCCTTCTATTTTTGCAGATGGACCAAAACCAAGATAGGCAAGTGATGTTACTGCAAAAAACTTTATGTAAATTCTTTAAAACAAAACAAAATTTTAGTTGCATGTATTGGAAAGAAATACTAGCCCATCGCTGTATATCAGATGATTTGGAATGGAGCGTATCGTAGCTCATGTGACATATTTTATTTTTTCCAATCTTTCAAGACAAAAATTGAAATTGTTTATTTTCGAATCTTTCGATATGAAAATTGAAATCTTCTATAAGAAAAAACATGTGTGTGCATGGGTTGATTTGGCATCAAAAGGGACAGGACGTAGTACTCCACTAGACAAGGATATATATCACATATACGTGAAAAATTAGAAATTTCGCAATCTTAACTTACTATTCAAAAGCAAAAACAAATAATTAGAAATAATTTAAAATTTAAGATTATGTTTTATTCTTAGTAAAATGATTTATAGTCACATGAATATTTAAGATTTACTTTAGATCATAAATTTTTAAAAATAATTATTTTTTCTTAAATTTCGTGTAAAAACTAATGATGTCACTTAAATTACAACACGGAGTACTTGTGAGCCCCATTGCTTTTGTCCACAAATGCCGCCCAAACATTCTGCTGACACACAATTGAATCATTCATTCATCATTCTTAACTCAACTTGGCCACACCATGAGTAGCAGTATGTTGGTGTTCTTAAATTTTAAGAAAATTATCTACATATCCTTATTATAATTAATTTAGCTATCTTTGAAAGGAAAAAAAACACGTAATAAAATTAAAATTGTCACTCTTTTCTTTTGAATGTACACAAATGCACAAATAAAATACCTTTAATCTACAGAAAGAAAAGGAAAGATTAATAAGTCACCCTCAATCCAATCTAGCAAAAAAGATTTTTCATTAAACTTGTCTGCCTTAATTAAGAAAATTAATTTGTTGACAACGTGTGACACTAATTAGTGAAAGGACAAATTCACTTTTATCTTCTTTTTTTCCCTTACTGACTCAATTAATTCAAAATTGTGTATGATAGGTCCACTAAAAAGTATTTTTACTTGTTAGGATGAGATTCTACGTAAGATTCAAACTCAAAACTTCAAAATAAGAGTAGATCACGTCCGTAATGGCACTTTACTTTTATCTAATGTTATGATATTAAATTAGATCTCAACCATCGACATGTTAATCTATCTAAAAAAGTCAATATATAATTCGAATCCTCCAGTATTCTTATTCTCGATGTTGATCACATATAGGTTATATTCTGACCTCAATTTACTACAAAGTGAAGCAACAAATAAATGTATAAATAAAAGTAAAAAGAATCAATTATTAAAAGCTTAAAAAGTGAAAAGGCCGACTTATATATCCATTTATGTGACAATTTCAAAAGATAAAGTGTAAAATCGTGATGGTTACCTTACCATATATCATCCCCTTTTAAAAAAAATATATATATTATTTTTTTTCGAAATGTGAAGAGCATTTTCAGTACCAATATTCAATTTAATGGCACACGGTACGATAAATAAATCGTACACCAAGCGATCATGTCTTCCCATTTATTTACTTTTTTAAGGAATTTTTTTTTATGGTGAATAGTAAATATTGTAGGCATAGACAACAAAAAGATTGTGTAAATTTTAACAATATTCCTCCATTGACACTTATCTCCGACATGATATACAATATTATACATATCTCCTTGTATTTCTCAATTTTGTTTCAAACAAAAGTTATGGGAAAATCCAACATATGTACTTATAAAAAAAAGGAAGATTTATAGAAAATAATGTTTGCACCAAGATTAAATTAAAACATGGAACACCAAAAGTGACATGTTACATCACACAAACAATAGGGTAATTAATCTTTCTTCACTTTGTTCTCAATGGCTAACACTTTGATTTCTAAAGTCATATATTATAATGGTGGGGTACATTGCTTAAAGTAAAGATAAGAAAAAAGTGACATTCAGCACACTTTGAATCTGGACCTCTATTTTATATTTATATGGTCCAAACTTTTAGATGGCTAATTCACTTTCATTGAAGCCTGCGGTCAAAGATTTTTCTATACCATCTTCAACAGAATTAAATACACCAATCTTGCGGTGGAGTGGACAGACGTCTTGGGTTCGAGTCCCTCTAAGTATAAATTGTTTTTGTTAGGAAGCATTTTACCCCTACCTCAAGAATTTTATGAATTCAAATTTAGTGAAACTCTTCGAATAGGAAACAAAAAAAAATAAAATTAAATACATAGTTTGCTACTATTTCCTCTTAAACAAAACAAAAATACGAGAATACCCATCATTGACTAATTGACAAGAATATGTCATAAAGTTACAACATAGTGAGGTTTATTGATAATAACATTTTTTTAAGAAAATCTCAAATATTTATAGAATAATTAAAATCGAATAAAACAACCCAGTGGCTTGATTTTCATGTGAAATGAAGCATGACTAGCACCAAATTTTGTTTTTTCTGAAAAAGATAAAAGAATCACAAGAGTATGCACCTGTAAAATTTGTCTTACTATCTTGTACTTGTAACAAATAATATTAAGTAGGAACATGGGGAATTAGAGAGATGTAAAACTACATATATATATATATATATATAAAGCAACTTGCCCGCAAATCATTCTTTGTACTAAATAATTAACAATCTATTTTGTCCCTTCCTAAAATTAGGCTACTTTGGTTCCTAGCATAAGGTGGAACATAATCATAATCCTGAATTATAAATTGGTCCAAACACTACAATTTCTAAACTATAATCTCAAAATAACTTAGTCCACGAACGAAACGAACGAAACGACCTTAAGGGTTCCCCACAGCTCCAAGAATAGAGTAAACACAATGAGCATTTCTATGTAAGAATTTATAAGCAAAAAGAAGGGAGCTAGCAAAACTCTTATTTAATTCTCTATACACAATTTCTTAATTCTGAAAAGACAAATATGATGGCATGATCATTGTGTATTCACAATGGATTTTCTCTGTTCTTGAATGATAGTCTCGGTTCATGATAATAGAATATAACCCGAGACCAACTCAAAACAAGAAGAACGGAGAGCTATGTATAGATAATATATATGATTTGATCCGCTCAACGAACCAATTTAACCGATAACACATGAATTAGGATTCTCTTCCATGCTGTGGTGAACCTGGTAGTACGTTTGCGCAGGAGGAGGATAATATGGACGATAGGGCATAGCTTGCATATGAGGAGGAGGATAATATGGCCGATAAGGAGGTACCATGCCAACCACAGACTGATTATAGCCTTGATGTGGGAATGGCATCGGCATCGGCATTGCCATTGGTTGTGGCTGTGGTTCTACCTTCTTCTCTCCGTCCTTTTTGGGCTCGTCTTTCTTATTTTCATCCTTCTTACCACCTTCTTCCTTCTTACCCTCCTCTTTCTTACCTTCCTCCTTTGGAGCGTCTTCTTTCTTGCCCTCGCCCTCCTTCTTAGCCTCCTCTTTCTTGGCCTCTTCTTTCTTTGGTTCCTCTTTCTTCTCCGGCTCTTTGGCCGGTCCTACTGAGATTATGTGCGCTGGCCAAAATTTCCGTAGTTTGCTCACTACACTCACTGGATCAACTGTTCCGATGATGGTTAATTTCTTACCTTTCATATCCATTGAGATTTCATCAATTCCTGCAACATCTCATCATAACATCCTCTAGTTAGTCTCATTTTAAAGATTTTACATATCAAAGTCAAGAAACCGTCACCAATTCTACCAAAGAAAAAAAGATCCGGACTTTAGGGACTTCAACTAACTGAATTTTCGCTTATATTGGAAACAATGTTATGGAGCAACTTTGTCACCAAGGTTTTAACTGTTACTGCACAACTCATGTTTTGGTTAATTCTATAGCAAATCATTATTCTCCAAAGAGCATTAGACAGCAGATTGAATTAACCACTACTGAAAATAATGCAGCAATTGAAGTTGATAGAACAACTACTCATGGAATGATTTCTTAGGACAATAGTATTATAGGTAGTGCTGTCGTAATCATCACCAAAAAAAGAAAAAAAACTTAAAAAATGTAAAATATATATATATATATATATACAACAACACACCCAGAGTAATTCCACAAGTAGGGTCTGGGGAGAGCCTATTTCTGATAGGCTCTCGGCTCAACAAAAACCACTCATCCTCCCAAAGAAAGAAGATGGAGGTTGAAATGGAGGACAGCTTACATGTAGTGGACCCCACTTGACATGGCGCCACATCAGAATCGATGAAAAAATTGACTTCTCTTTTTCTTTTCAATTAGTTGAAAGTAGAATCCAATTTGGAGACTATTGGTAGTGAATGGCTTAGTACCTAATCCAAGTTGGAGAACTACCATCTTCAGTATTAGATCCTCCTAATCCTTTAACAATGACTCACCACCAACTCAATTGATCACCCAAAACCAAATTCTTTTCTTTTTGCTAAAGATATACATATTCACATCAAAAGAATTACTTGTAGCCGTTAAACCGGTATGCCTATACTTGTATTCATTTAATTTTATTCACATACATATCAATCAAATTTTTCGACGAAAGGTGTCAGATGACACTAGTTGCTTAATATTAAGGGTCTGTTTGGCCATGTGATATGAAATCTCCAAAGACAATGTTGCTCCAACTCTTTAAAAATGTCTACATTCATGTGGGATTACCAAAAATAGTGCATTTATGAAGAATCTAACCTGCGAGTGGCAATAATTTTAGAGTATTCGAGCAACATAACCCGTAAGCAACCATGATAATTCGAAATATCCTATCACCAGTTTTAACTTTTAAATTGTAAAATAAATTAATTGGAAACACTCCCCCCTCCCCACACACACACACCATTTTAGCTTGAAATTTTGATAGATGAAAAAATGCACGAAAAATAACATTTTTTTTCAGTACCTGGAAGAGCAGAGACCGTCTTCAAGGCCTTGCGCTTATCTCTTACATCATGCACCTCCAAATTCAAGATAAATTTCTGCAGAAAAAAAAGTGAAAAAAAAAAATCAATTTTCTGCAAAATAAAAATTTAAAAACAGTACCAGCAAAACAGAGCAAACAAATCAAAATACAAAAGAATCAACCACCGACAAAATTAAGAAGGAAAAAAAAACTACAAAGAATCAATAAAACCCCAAAAAACCCGACACCCAAAAGTAAATTCAAAGCAAAAGTTATGCATCTTATGAAATATTCCGAAAGTGGAATAACAAAAAAGGCAAAATCAGATAAGGGTATAAATAATTTATCAGAGATACCTTCATCTTGCAGTCAGAATCAAAACCCAGAAGAAAAAAAGTTGTAGAGAGAGAAAGAGAAGAAGCTAGAAATGGTGAAGAGGTAGAGAGACAGAAACCGAATATATGGTTTTCTAATTAGTTCAATTGAGTATTTGACGGTAGAAAAGGAACCCAAATAAATAAAAAAATTCCGAATCAGAACAAAAATGCAGAATAAGAGAGAGAAAATAGAAAAGGGGCTATGGGCTATGGTGTTATTATATATTTGGAGCTACAGAGAAGAAAGGTGATAACAGTGAGGGCAACAGTGGCAATTTGTAGGGGGAAAAGGTGGGGGCTTGGGGGGGAAGAGCGGGGTAAAAGTTAAATTAATTTAGACAGGGGTTACATATTAAATTTATTCTGAAATGTTTTGATCCAAGCGGAGCTCTCTGCATGTTTATTGTTCATATTGCCACGTGGTGTTCTCTTGCACAATTTGGTTTAGTAATTTCAATTTGTTTGACATATTTTGAATCGAAATTTAAGAAAATTAAAAAGACTTTTAAATCATATAATTTTAATTAAAGATATGTTAAATATACAAACTGCTCTTTAATTTTGTAATTTAAAAAAATTGTAATTAAAAAAAAAATAAACTAATAAAAATATATCAAATAAATTAAAACTAGAGAAATAATCATTTGAATAGTGGTTTGTTTAAATTTTTGTATACTAAAAGTTGATATATCCAATGTTAGTTGATGAACTGATACAACAATAATAACAACATATCAGTGGCTCTTTCTTCAATAAATAAAATTTGTGTTTATGTAAGTATCTGAATAACCATAAGTAAAGAAATTGGAAAACTAAAAATTAACATACTTCATGCTAAATTAGCCAATGCTTAATTTTAAGGATAATCACTCCTAAAGATGAAATGGAAAGAATATAAATATTTTATTTTTTAAAAATAATAAATAATGCTGAAGTTTAAAAACTTATATAATTTTAATAACTTATGCTGAAGTTTTTTTTTTGTTTTTCTTTTGGGTTGTAAGTCCCTAGAGTATCCGTTATGCATATTTTCCTAGGTATTAAAGTGTATGAAAGTCAAAATACCTTTGTTAAGTTATTCTTCCTCCGTTACAGTATTTTTTTAAAAAAAATTATTTGACTTGAGTTTTGAAAAGTAAAAAAGATTTTTAAATTTTGTAATTTTAAACTAAAGATTTTTGTAGTTTTGTAATATAACAATATGCATTAAAATGACCTTTGATCTTGTGAATTTAATATGTCATGTAAAAAGTTGAAATTAAAAAATGGTTAAAAAATGAAAATAAACATTATTTTTTAAACGGACTAATAAACAAGACAAACAAATTGAAACATATGAAAAACTTTGTTCGGTGTAGGACTGTTCAAACTCGAACTGCAGTAGATAAGTCAACCACAAATTTGATTTATTGGTATTAGATTATCGGATTAACAGTTGGTGAACAGATTAAAATTTTATAGTTAATGGTTAATCGGCGCGTGATTGGATTACTCAATTTTTTTATTTTGTGAACCGTTAACCCGTTAAGAATTATCGTAGTCACATTTTTACCATATGTATATTTGTTAAGTAAATACTTAGGTGTACATACCCACAAAATTTAGACTTTCATGTGTGTCTCACTGTGATTCACAATTAATAAATTACCCGCTTAAGTAGGGCTAGAAAAAATATTTTGTTTGATGGGAGATCAATCTATTGGTGGTGAGTGAAAGTGAAAGAAGGGAGCATGAGGTGGTGGAGCCAATACACCGCCCAATAACCGTCAGTTAATTTCTAATCCGATACCGAATCAATCGATAGCTTATTATTCGTTGGCTAGCAAATTAGTATATTTAAAATCTAATCATATCCAATAAGTCAAATCGTTAAACATAATTATCCATCCGATCCATCCAATAAGGAGCCCTAGTTTAGTGAAGGTTTAGTTCTTCACTTTGTAGTCACCCCCTTGTTGTCCTTTTCAAATAATAAAATACAAAATACATTTCGTAATTTTGGAAAAATCTTTTGAACAAATTTTCATGAGAAATTTTTCTTATAACAATCGTAAAATTTACAAGAAATTTAACACCAAAACGAGAGTCTAATATTTTATGTATAAAATTAAGAAAATATTAGATTCAAGTCTAATATTTATTTTGGAAGGGACTTTTATGAGCATAATATTTATACAAATTTTAAAATAGAGATAAAATCTTATTTACTAATGACATAAAAATGGTCATTTGAATAAATGAATTAGCTACAACTAGGGGGTCGGATGTTCATGCTCCAAACTAGTTCCATTTTCATCAAATTCAAAACAATTATTATTAATATTTTTAAAATAAGTAGTATGCTCAAAGCCTGGACCACGAATATATTTAGATCAGACTTATTTTTATAGTATAAAAAACGTCATTGGTTTTCTAAGTCAATATAATAATTCAATTTTTCGAAATTTCAACTTTGCTTGAACACACTAAAGTGCAACTAGATAAATATTAAATAGACAAAAAGCCGTCATTTACCACCATTTGCTGTTGTTCACCCTCTTTGCACCATTGAAAAATTGATATATTAACCCTTCAAAGTCAAGGTTCAACCGAATCAACTTGTGGTGAAGTAGTAAGTATTTCTTTATTTTTAATTAAGAGGTCTCGAATTTGAGTTTTCTTGGATACGAAATCATCTTTGTTAGAAAACGATTTACCTTCCAATGTGAAATTTTTCAGTGTGAATCTAAATTTAATCGGATTTAAATATGGATATCAGACACCGAATTAAAAAAAAAAAAAGTTCAACTGAATGAAATTTTTTGAATAAATCCTTCCGTGGCTAATACTCCTATATTAGTTTTGTATCCATTAACTGAGTCGCGGTGGATTTTGTAAATCAGTTGGTAGACGCACAAACAAAAAAAAAAAAGAGATACAATCCAAAAAATTTCAACAATCCAGAATAAGAGGTTAACTCCGTTATATATACATACTTTAATAAATAATAAATAATATAATATTTTCTTTGATTATTTTTATTTATCCAATTTGTATTTTAAACGTTTTAAAAAAATAATGATTGATATATTATCATTATACCCATATCAATTGATGTCTGAGAAATATACCTAGTTAATGCTAAGAATAAATGAAAAAAATATTCTTGATATGTTAAATGTGACAAGTAAACGTGAAAAATCTAGTTTTAAAATAGTGTACAAGTAGAAAAAACAAATGAAGAACGTAATTTTATCATCTCACTCTTAATTATAAGTCATCTTACTCATTACAAAATGAATAAAAAATAATTAATACTTAATAATAAAATAAAATAATAACCGTTCATCTCTTAATCTTTCAAATCGAACCAGTTCTTTACCCATCGTTGGCTGCTAACTAAATTCTTATTATTATTTGTCATTTTGGTCATAAAAGACAAGCGCCTAACTAAAAAGACAAAACTCTCATATATTTAGTCAATCTTTTAGAAACATCTAGATAAAATTTAAATTTTAAAAATAAACTATATTTGAATACAAATATTCGATAAAACATGGGTAAAATGAGCCAATGAAGAGTGATAATATAAAGAGTCAAATCTTTGATGTACATAATATTTTTCATGATTATAATATTGAATTAAGGCTTTATTTTCTGCAGGTTAAGGACATGAGTGGCCCTATATATAAAATCTATAACCGGCCTATCTTCGTATATGGGGCATGCACATAATAAATCAACTTGTTATAAGCTTTAAATTAAAGTTGAATATTGCATGGTAGGAACTTCTTGTTGGCCCATGTTTCTTCAGTATCAGCAATCAACATCAATTGTTTAGCTTTTTGATAAGTGTCGGAGTCCGAATTTTATCAAAATTAAGAATCAAAAAGAAATTATCATTATATATATGTAATAATGATAATTTTAATTATATATAACAATGTAATATACGTTAAAAAGGTTCAAATGGACCCTTTTTGACCATGGTAAGATCCTTCCTTCATTCCAGATGAAAGGCGTGATCTAATAGTTGTTAATCTGAGTCTGTCTTGTCTTAATTAGTATCATATCCTAATTGATTATGTACTTCCTTCGATTTTTTTATCTGTGTCTTGTTAACTTGAAACGATTCCTAAAAAATAGCTATAAAGACCTGTTTTACTAAAACATTCTTGTTAATTACACTTTAAGAAATTAAGTTTGATTACTAGTAGTATATTATGTAGTTACTTAACAATAAAAGTATATTGAAAAAAATAATAATAAATCTATTTAATATGTTAAAATCGACAAATAAAAGAAAGAAATATATTTTTATTCTTTTTAATATAAAAGAGAAATAAAAATAAACTAAGGGGTCGTTTGGTGTGAGGGATAATACCAAATAGTCCCGGGATTAAATTATAGTACCGTTTATTTTGTTGTTTGGTTGGCAAGTTCGGGATAACTTATCCCGGGATTAATAATTAGTACCGGGATAAGTTATCCCTCTCCTTGGGTGGTATAGTAATCCCGGAATAACTTATCCCGGGATAAAATAGGTAAATGACAAAAATGTCTCTTTCAACCCTTTTGTTATATCACTTTTTACATTAATGAAGGGCATTTTTGTAAACAAATAAATTGTTCTTAAAATTTATTATTTTGAATACAACAAACCAAACACTCAATAAAAAATAATCCCAACACAACTTATCCCATCATAACTAATCCCAACATAACTTATCCCAACATAACTTATCCCATCATAACTCATTTTCAAACCAAACGACCCCAACTATACTCCAATGTCACCAACTTATCTGACACTTCAAAATATTTTATTGCACTATTTTTCACACAATATTTCTCTCCTATTGAAATATTATATTATTATTATTTAGAGAATAAGTAAAAAATTAATTTACGAATTTTACAAATATCTTACAAAAAGTTACTAGGAGTACTACTTATCGTTAATATAAATGAGTAATAAATTAAATAAAATTTATAAAATTTATATCCGGTCAAGAAGATGGAAAGAATACATGCAAGGACATATATAATTAGGAATTTAGTCTATTTCTGTTGAAAAAGAAAAAATGCAATCAATTCCAATCTTGATTAAACTTTTGTGATCTAATATGTCTCTCCCTTCTGTTTTTGGAATTTTTCACTTTTCTTTTAAGTGGGTTTCTTCATTTATACACATATCCATTTTATTTCTTTATGATCTCACTTTCTTACTTTAATAAAGGATGGAGATTAGAATTTTGTGGTTCCCATCAAAGTACTGCTACTATCGCACGAGTTGCAAGAAGCTCTGGTCGTATAATTTATAAACATGTCATTTAACTTAGATTTTAGTTGATATTTATGTATGTACTTCAATTTTAAGTATACATAAATAGATACGTAAACTTGTATAAAATTAAAGATATAGACACACACGTCTTTGTCTACTTGTTAAATACAACTGATTTTTTGTTTTTTTTTTCCTTTCTAAAGTGGTACTACATACTTAATTCGAAAGGTTGAGAGAAGTCTTAGATCAAAAAGTGAACTTGTTTGACCAAAAATAAAGATTACGGATCAAAAGACGGAAAAAAGTATTTATGAATCATTTTTCATACATTGGAATATTTATTGCCCTTTTCCGTTCAATATAAACAAAATTTATATTTCACCAAATGCAAGTGTTAGGTATCATAATATGTAACTTTAACCAAAAAATTAACTCGAGTTTTGTAATAACCTTCTTATGTTATTTATAATCTCTTTTAGTTACAAGTCTCTACACATACTTCCTTTTAGAGATTAGTATGAATTGAAGCTTGGGTAGAGACTTGTAATTAAAAAGATAAATTATACAACAATACATAAATTAATATATACTCATCAATTACAAGTATATATTGTCATTAGTATGAATTTATCAACGAACAATAATATTCCTACTAATCACAATATATATACATTGTATACACTGACTTTTTAGGAGAAAAATACTATTGTGTATGTAATATATATATGGCAATACTTTGAATTGAGATATAACTTATCATCCATATTAATTGTACCAAAAATACATGATTTATTAATCTATAAACATAATTATCAAAATTTGTATTGGGATTATTATTCATTTTAGCCCCTCTAACCAAAAAAACTCCCAAGTCCATTGACAAGTCTAGTCAAATTACAAATGCAATACAACTCAGTTGGCGATCTGTTCACACCTTTATCTTAATGATAAAGGTTGGAGGTTCAAATCTCACTATATTTCTCTCCACGAATTCGAAAAAAAAAAAGTGTGATAAAATTGGGACGGTGAAGTTTAGCTACATTCAGTACACAGTTTTGTAATCTAAAACAACAGGCTATATGGGTCAAATTTGAGATTGGACCGTTCTACTTTAACACAAACTAAGCTATCTCGGCCCATTTTGATTTCTCCTTTGAAAATTTTGTAGAATACGTAACAACAAATGTTTGTATTCAAAAAGAAACCCATATTCTCTTCTCTTCTCTCCTTTTTTTTAAATTCTTTTTCGCGAAAGTGGTAAAATATCAAGAAAGCATAGCTTAGTTGGTTGGTTAATTAAATTTTCATTACTTGGTAAGAGTTTAATTTCTTATCTTGTAATCCTCTTTTCCGACCCCCAATTTAGAAAATGAAAGTTGCTTAACATTAAAATTTTGATGCTTCTGACTCTCTTGTTGTCCCTCTCTAGAACGTAACATCCATTACAAGTACATAAATATAGTAAAAGTTCCATTTTTTAGAATAGTATCTGGAAGTTTAAATTTATAAAAGCAAAATCTTAAGACACTATTTTAAAGTACAAAATTATGTAAGTGAAATTCCATAATATTGACCTAGAGTTCTAGAAGAATATACAATTTAAAACTCCTTAAATTCTTTCTGAAATTTAAATTGATAAAAGTTTCAAATTCCATGAATGAGCATCTTTTATTGATTTTTTCCCCATATCTAAGATAATCTTATCTAAATTTTACTTCGAAAATTACGTGATTAAACAAACATATACTAGTTAATTAGTCATCATAACTATAGTTTTAATTAATTACCAACTCACGACCAACATTCAGTGATAATTACATGAGTTGGGGTTTTGAGTTTATATAATTCAAATTTTGTATAATATAATTTGTATAATGTAATTTTGTATAATATAATTTGTATGACTGTTTAAAGTTCAGATATTTGTATTTGTATAAATTCGTTATTTCGAGTTTATACAAAAATAGCTCAATTATACAAACGTACCCGTGAATTACACAAACTCACCCTCGAATTATACAAACAAGACAACTTAAACTATAGATACAACCCGTAAATATGCAAACTATAGCTACGGAGCATAATTAAGTTTATTATAGTGACTATTTTTGAAAACTCTCCATTTTAATTTTACATAAAAAAGGCTAAAGTTTGAATAAGTCGAGCAAATCTTTTAGGCCCAACTATGCGGTGGCCCAATAATTTTTCTTGTTTGGTCTTTGTCTGGTCGACTGTTATGAGTCATAAGTAAAGACCACGCGCAAACAGATAAAATGGCACAATGAACAAGCGACGTGTGTGATCACGCTCCACATGCCCCCTGCTTCTTCTTCTCTTCCTTTTTCACCTTTTCAATTTTCCTCAATTCTCCGCCACATTCCCCTGCAAATTGAAGAAAATTTTAGGGTTTAATGGGTAATCAAGGCGAAGAATTACTGATGGCAGCTTACAAAAGTTCAAACTTTACCGCGGGTTGTTTGGAAATCTGTTTGTTCTACGTACGCATAACGTTCTGCGCGGTTGACGTAGTTCCGGATCACCTTATACTCCGTCACTTGCGTCGTGAAATAGGTGTTTTGTTAGAGATTAATGGGTGTCGAATTCTGTCATCCGACACCATTTTTATCACGCTAAGCCGTGACAGGGTTGATAAGGGATCATCAGAGGTGACGTATGTTAGAACTGACAATGTTAGAGTTTTTGGGACAGTGGAATTTGAGGTACACGAAAAGAAAGAGGAGTTGATACTTTGTGGGTCATTGGAAAGAGTTGAGGGTACGTGGGATAATGGTAATGGGACTGGGTGGAGTATGGATTGTTACAATGCGGCGTCTTTTGGGAGTGGTGGATCAGTGTTTTTTCAATCAAAGATTGGGGTTTCATCGCCATCGATTGAGGTTTACGTCGCGAGTTGTTGTTCTGGTGTGCCTTTGATTCTGACCAAAACGATTCAGGTTAGCCCTAGGAGGAAGTTGTTTAGGCATAGTATGTTGGACTCAATTCCTGAGGATGAGGGGGTTGGGAAGGAGCACTAATATGTCAATGGATTCATATCACAACAAACTGTCGGTAATGCTCATTTCCTGCTTTTTAACTGTTTGTGCCAAAATCTTTTACTCTGTTAAACCTTTGAGATTATAGCATTACAACATTTAGTTGGATTTTCAGCATAATCATTGATCAACTGTATGCCCATAGAGTTGATTTTAAGCAAATGAACAACATGTTTTTTCATTCTTAATTTTGAATATGGCTCAGTGATGAAATCGAAAGTTGGACCAAAGACTTGGGGGATCAGGGTTCTAATCATAGCATATGCATATAAGTATGGTGTCTAAGCCTTGCTAGACAAAATTATACTTACCTGTATACTATATTGGTGGGAGGACACTAGTATCCGGCTGGTATCTAGTGGAATAGTTGAGGTGCACACAAGTTGGCCAAACACGACCTTTATCAAAATAAATAAGTGAAGAAATGAAAGATAAGGCTTCTTTAGAAAGTTATTTTTTTTAGGGACCAGGTTCACACCCTTTTAGAAAGTCTATAAAGTGTGGTGAAGCTACTTTCTTTGCTTTGATTCTTATGGTAATTGTATTGACTAACCTAGATCATGTCCAGTCCTTGATAAAAGTTACGATGAAGTACTTTCTTCTGCATGAAAAAAGAAAGAAAAATAAAATTCCCGTCAGGAATGATATTATAAACTTCATGTTTGTGGAAGTTAGCATAGTGTTAGCTTGCACATGAGGCTCTGTAAGAGTTTATCCATTTAGCATTAGTTAGATAGCCTTCTCGGAGCAATAAACTATTCGAAGTTATCATCTATTCACCTGCCTTTACACCAAAACTGCTGCAGCAAGAGTCCAAGTACTTGCGTAAATATGCTTTAATTAGTCGACACTGAAAAAAGATATGTAGGTAACCCTGACCCTTGAGGGAACTAACTTCATAGAAGAGGAGAAAATTGAATAAATTGAGGATGTCCTAGACTCTTGAATCTACTTCTGAACACCCATCTCAAGAACAAAATGTTTACTTTTCATATTCCCATTTTTGTATATTAGTCCCAACTCCAAATCTTTATTTTTCAGCCTTCAAGAGTCTACCATCTTATGACATACTTGTGAACACCAACCTCAAGAGATGGAATGTTTTCCTTTAATAAACCGATATTTTTATTTCTTTTGCCCATCTCCATCCCTTCCAGTTTTATCAAGAGGGTGGCACATTACCCTTTTGACATCATTGACAGTCAACATGCTTTTTCTCACTAGTTTCATCTTGCCAACCAAAATATATCTATAGCTATGTAAAATAACGACTTTAAATAGTTTAATCTACTTATTTAAATTGAATTTATTGATAACCCTATGTCTTCAAGTTTCATGGTTACAAAAAAAAACTTTTTACCTTTTTGAGATGGTGGAGATTCATATAGTTTTTTTTTTTTAATTATTATTATTATTTTTATTTTTATTTTATTTATTTTTTACCCTCCCTAGGAACTTCCATCTCTTTTGCTTCCTTCGTGACTCGAACTCGCAACGTTCAGGTTGGAAGTGAGAGGTGTTTACCATCCGAGAAACTCCCTCTCATCGATTCATATAGTTGCTTGACCTTATTAATAGAATGATTTCTTATAGCTGCTTGGATTGAGATGTTGACGTTGATGTGGTTGTTGTTGTTCTCAATCATCCACCATATTGATGGAAGATGGTCACAAATGTGAACTTATACTCGATGATTGATAATAGAGTTGACAATAAAATCTTAGTCATTCACTGTGTTGCTTAATAATAGGTAATATTTCTTGATAACATTCAACATCGCCTATTGCCAAATTTCCTGCAGTGATTCAGTCAATATAACAACATAAAGTTTTCATATTGAGAAGCTTTCCTTTGGAGATGAGGATTTGCTCAACATACAATGATACACTTTTTGTTGAGAGATTAGTATAAGCATAGAATATATGGGTGACATGGTGATGATCATACCTTTTTTAAATGTTAATTTTGAGAAGGTGATGTGCTGCTCATTTTGATCTGAGAGAAAATGCTTTTTTTTATAAGGAAGATAGCAAGTTCTGAATTTGACTCGAACCCGTAACACCTTCCTACTGAATCAAACAAGCCAATCAACCTAAATTAATTTCTAAGAAAGTATTGGATGTTGCATGTAAGAGGTATCGGTCTTTGTTAGGTATTAGAGAATTTCAATAATGGTTAGAACATCATGTTCTTAATTAATTTATTAGGACCAACTTCAGTATGGAAGACTTCAAAGTTCTGCCATGATCACATGACTATTTGGAGATGGACAACCCTTAATTTATTAGATATCTCAGAAGTGGTTGAAATTTAAAGAGATATTGTGAAAAAACAATCAATGACAATTTTAAGTGTGGAAATTTTGATTTCATACCAAAACAAGGATTGATGGGGGAAGGGGTTTGCTGCATGAAGATTCAAGATTTTGCTGTTAAGTAGAATGTTCGTCTAATATCGGGTTTCGCTTGATTATTGCCCATGCGTTTGTGAAGCTCAACCTAGATCTGTATTAGAGGTAACAATTCAGTTTCCCAGATTAAGTTTTAGAGTTTAGAAGATATGGTAGATGAGCAAAACCAACTTTGGTTTAGCATGACACTTAAGAAAGACAGACTTGAGCACTTCAAAGAACTAATAAAAAGCACAGCTTGTTACTGTGTTGTTGGTCGTTGATGTTGGCACCAGGTACGAAGAAACTTAGTAGATAATTTGAGTGAGTCGTGTCTCATTAGTCCTTATCAAAAGAGAATCATATTAATCAGCACAAGAGTATTTTCTGTTTAATAATTTCGGGGCTTATGAGTGTTTCCCCCAGCTTACTGATAATGCTTGGCCTGAAATACTGTAGGCATTGGGACACCTTGGTGCTTGTTCAACTAATAATCTCTGAATTGTAAAAAAGAAAATGCGGGCAAGCTGATAACAACATCTTCTCTTTAGAATGCTCTGAAAATAGTTCAGGTAATGTACCGTTTCAGCATGATGCAAGTGATGTCATAAGTAATAATGTAACGTATTGTTAGTGGGTGAAATCTTTTCCTGGTTGCAATGGGTTTATCAAAAGCTATACAAACATAAGCTCTATAGTGGTATCTTTATTTTTCTTGATTATTGTTATATGCTCTCTAACTTGAGATGTACATGTACAATTACTGGTTTTTTCTATTGTTCGGATTCCAAATACTGCCCTTGTTATCCTCACCTCAAGCACAATAAGGATTCCATGGAGCAATGCTTAGGTGGGGTTTGATTGTGTAACAAGTTTGCGTCTGGTTTGGTTTTTGATTTTTTGAGACAGTTGTTGGGTTCAAATTTTTCACTTTACTGTTTTATCTCAAAGCTTTTCGCCTAAGTTCTGCGGACTCTTCACTTTTGATGCCGCATCCGTATCAGATTCTCTAAAAATACACTACATTTGGAAAATCCGATATGCACCCGTTGACATTTTTGAAGAGTCTGAGCAACATAGTTTTTCACACACAATTAAGTAGAGTGCTTGGGAATTACCTAGTGTAATGACCACCTAGGAAAAGAGGTTAAGACTTGAGTCAACCATACTGGTTATGTTCTTTATTCTTCATAGCCTAATTTTACATTTTAGTTTCCTATGGTTTTTATTTGCCAGCCAAGTTCTTCACAAAAAACGTTTAGGGTAAGATTTGTTCTCTATGAGTACTTAATTGAAGTATCTATTCCATGCTATGACTATTCTACATGTTCTTCACAGAAATGTTCACAAACTTAAAACCTTCTGGATAATTAATTGGAGTCTTTATTTCGGTTCTGCATATTTTATCTTTCAACCATCGAGAAGGTCATACTTATTTTTATATTCATTTTATTATTTGTCATCTTTAACCTATTTAGAATACATAATCTATTCTACTTCATGTTGTAGGCATTTGAAGTGTTACCGCAATGTCTTGTAAATTGTGGTGGATAAACAAATATTGATTTTTTACTTTTGTATATTTTGTCATCTCTAAATCAAACTCTATATTTGACATTGTGCAGTACAAGTTAGTGTTTGATAAATGACCATGCTTCCTCCTGCTAATATTATAGTCAGGGGCGGACCCACATGTTGTCCAGGGGTTCACCCAAACCCCCTCGATAAAAAATTACACGGTATATATAAGGAAAATTTTCTAGATTTATATGGATATATATATTTTGAACCACCTCAATGACAAAGTGAAAGAGATAGCCCAGCGGCAGCTCCCTATGAAATTAAGCGTGACGTCCATGGATCGAATCCCTAGGTTAGCGTTTTATTTTTAACTTTTTTAGTTTCAGTCTTTTTTTTTTTAGTTCCAGTTTTGGTTTTCACGATATTTTTAGTTTTTTTTTTATAAAACATGCTTTAATGTAGTGTTAAACCCAAAAGAATTCAAGGGTCCTATACTCCCATTTCTAAAGGCTAATAACTTATTCACTTCCCAAATCCCTAAATCACTTCCTTAGTTCTTCCCCAACACTCAAAAGTCAAATATTAAACCCAAAAGAATGAATGATGACTTTTTGAGCGGTTGCATGGTTCCTTTTATGGAGAAGGATGTGTTTAATGATGTTTCAATGGATGATATTATTTGTCTTTTCAAGCAATGAAACCTCGTCGAATAGTATTGTAAACGTGCTTGAGAAGTATTAGCACTGACATATTTTTGGTGTTTGTAGTTAACACTCTAGTCCTAGAGTGAGACATTATGAAGTGCTAATTTTTTTGTTCTAGTTAGCACCATTTTTTGCTCTACTTAGCATCCTAGTTCTAGATTGACATATTGTAAAGGGCTAACTTTTTGTTTCACTTAATCACTCATGTTAGTTTCGGATTTCTTGTAACGAAACTAATTTTTTGTACCTATAAACTATATACTACTACTTCCTTGAAATTTTGTTTTGTTGGCTTATTTACACGATTATATTTTGATTTTTTGAACCCCTGAACGAAAATTATGGGTCCGCCACTGATTATAGTAGTCTACAAACTTATCTAACCACTAAACTCTACTAGTTCTTTCCCCTGCGACTAGCAAATGTGTAGTCTTCTTGTTTTGATTCTTTTTTCAAAAACTTTTGTATGTGTTTTAGTTCCTCTATTGTTTTCTCATCTTTTTTCTTCTTCTATGTTTACATCAATTGTAAATCTTCCAATTGATAAGTTATTTAAAATAGTTGTTACATACTCATCAATAGATAGCAATAGGAAATTTGCTTAAATGCACTGTGTGTTTTGGCATATCACAGACTCAGAGTTGGATTATTATGAGTCAGAAGGAAAAGCTGGACATGGCTTTTACTCAGAAGACATGTACTATGGTGAAGATGGTCAACTCTCATGGTTCAACGCTGGAGTAAGGGTTGGAGTGGGGATAGGCCTAGTGATGTTGGAATTGGGATGGGGCTACTTATGCGCTCTTATCAAGCAACCATTACAAACCTGCGGATGAGGTTCTTTTAAACTGGAGAAGTTCAGTGCGAGTAAACTGTGGTCGTTATTGACTTGATTTGAAGATGAAAATCAAGACCGTTAATGGTGGTTGTGATGTCCAGCATTCAACAGTAAGTAGGCAATAGAGGATGACATAGTGGAGCCACTGAGGTGTGATATGATATAAATATCTGGAGTGAATATTAATTCTTGATATACTAAAGCTGCAAAAGACCTCCATGTTGGAGGTCTCAAGTTCGAAACCCCTTGCCAGCGAAAGCAAGGGGTTTTGCCTTCTAGGTCGAGCTCGTCGTACCGGGCCTGCCTAGTGCGGGTTACCTCTCCTATGTGGTTTGCGAGCTATTGCATAGGAGCGGGGGTTTTACCCTGTGCGCACCCAAAGGGTAGTGGCTGTGGGTTTCCCTTGTCATAAAAAAAAAACCCTCCATCAAAGACTTCTACCGGAATGTTGACTGAAATACTGATGTGGATATAGCTGTATTTGAAACCGTTGAGAACAATGTGTTTATAGGTATAGCAACGTGTTGTGTTGGGGAAGATGAGTTGTAATTAGATGTAAGTTTTTCATACATCATCTTTTCGAGTAAAGTTTTTCTGGGTAGCTAGCACCGGATGTTGCTAACATCTTTTTTGGTGTTACTTTTTGTGAGTTTACATTGGTCGTTCAATTTTGGTCATGGCAACAAGCTGCCATTGTGTAATAAGTGTCGTTTGTATAGTTCTGAGTTCTGACTGAAGCGGATACTGTACAAATTACTAATACAAGGAATAGTTTCTTCTGTAAATTCTTGAATTTTTGGTTCAGATATTTGATTCGAGGTTTGAATTTTTGGTACAGTGCTCTGATGATGTACTATCATCGGGCGAAGTATATTTTTCCTTTCTCGGTACCTCTATTGGAGCTTGACTAATTTGAATTCGCATTGAATAGGGGCCATTAGGCGGTAGCGCTCCCTACCAAAGATTTTTTTTATATTCAGAGCTCACAAAATCGAGATCTCTAATTAAGGGAGAAGTAACTCCATTCGTTACCCCAAGTCATTTGGTTGTATCATTGATGTTGACATACAAATTGTATATTTTATCATGGTACCTTTCAACAAAAGATAATATCAAAAGTATTCATTTTTTGTCTAACAAAAATTTGCATCAAGTCAAACATTATTATATAAACTGAGATAGATAAAACACGATAATTATTAATTATATTAAGTAACTTTATATGTGAAATTATAATAATGGTGTGGTTTTTTTATTACAAAATTAAATTAAATAATCTATAAAGATTATTACTATGAATTGAGTGGGCGTTTGAAAAATTAACTCAACTAACATCGTACTATCGTTAAATTGAAACTTTATCATACCTTATTATCATGGAATAGTTGATCCGCTTGCATATACAAATGACTTGTATTTATTACTACTAATAATAAGGATTTCAGAAGTTCTACCAACCCATTTATTTATAGATAAGAGAAATTGTACCATTCATTGAAAATTGTGGACTGCTATCTTGACAGAAAAAAATACATAGATTATAATTAGAAGTGAAAAAGGTCTGATATATTCATAACTTTACTATTGATATAGTGTCATTACAAAATGATCCAGATATATAAAATGAAACGAAGGGTGTATTTTTTTGTTTCTTTTTACTTGTTCAATTTGAATTTTTTATTTGATCCTTTTTACTTGTCACTTTTCTGAAATAAAAGGAAGTACTCCTCTTTCTCTTTTTACTTGTTCAATTTTGAGTTTTCGCTCATCCCTTTTTACTTTTCATTTTTGACAAATTAAGACTCGCCTTGTCCCTCTAGCTTCACCCAGCTGTAACAACGCAAAATGTGAAAATGGGCACAAACAGGAAGTTACTGATGGAGTACGCGTAGCATGGACGTGCATACATTATTAATAAAAAAGCAGGAATATTGTATTTATTTTTTTGGGATTATTTGATCTATTAAGACTGACCCCCAAGCACGTGAATACGCGCTCTCTCTCTCTGTCTCTCTCGTTCTCCATCCATTGATTGCTAGCACGAAGGGCGGATCCATAATTTGATTGGGTAAGTTTCTGCTCTTTTCTCTTCATATCCCTTTGTTAATGGAATCTCCATCTCTGTTTTTCGCACAAATCATAGCTGTTCCTTTTCTATATTTTCTGTCGGATCCTAATTCCGATTCAATTTCATCGCCGATAGAGAACCGCCGGCAATCAATTAGGTTTCAGTTACAAATCGTGTATAACCCGTTCCATTCGATTTCAGCCCCAAATCTAATGCTGATGCAGCTTTCTGTAAGATGATGTACTGTACTGTAGTTCCTTTTGAAAGAAATAATGAAGCTATAAAGGATGATTTCTCAGATTAAGATAAAGTCTTTGACTGATTGATTATTATTATTGTTATCATCATTTGTACCGGCTTAACTTGAATTTCTGTAAGAGGTTGTTTACAATTAATTTATATATATACTGCCTAGATCTAAATTAGTCTGTTCGAAGGGCTTTTTGTGTTAATGTTTGCTACTGTGTGTGGACAATTTGATCATTAATTTCTTTAGTAAGTCTTTGAATATTTTGTCTTAGATTATAACGGACTCTCTACTCGACAGTGAACTGGTTTAGTTATAATCATAGAGAGAAACAGCTGGAATATATGTGGTAGTATGCGTTTATAAACATGGAATAATCTAGGCTAAATGCATGGTACTTTTCGATTGCTAGTTGTGGTTTGCTGCTTCTTAGTGAGCTAGAGAAGTCCAGTGGCGGATCTAGGATTTAGAGTCCGTGGGTGCCAAATAGACTTATCGATTAACAATTATAAAAAAAATAAAAAATGTGCCAGCTGTTTTTCCTTAAAAAGCGTGCTTGGAGCCTTTTTTTTTCTTAAAAAACGTTTGCAACAAATTTCTCAAAAAAATAGGTACAAATGGGATTCGAACCCGCAACATCAACCTTCTAAAGTTGCCCTCCTACCGTGGCACCACAAGCCAGTTTTGTTCTCTGGGTGACACGCTTTATATTTATATAAATATTATATATATATACCTATGTATATATAGAGTTTCCGTAGAAGTTCGGGGGTGGCGTGGCACCTCCACACCCCTTCATAGATCCGCCCCTGTAGAGAACTGTTGAAGAGTGCTTATTATTGTTCTTGCATATAGTGATGCATGTTTGACAGTTAGCTCAAGCGTATGATCAAAGCTAATTCAGCCAGTTGATTGATGTTTTTTTTTTCTTTTTTTTTTCATTTAGAGCGTGCTACATATGAATAATGTCCTAAGCTGTTTTAGGTGTGCTTTTTGATCTATACCATGACATCGCACCTTTTGATAGATGAGGGAAGTGTGAGAAGCTATAAATGTCATGCAGGAATATGGGTTGACTACCATCTATCCAACTGGATGCATTTCCTGATTTCGTATTTCCAGAAATATTTGGTTTTTGACCTGAAATACATGAACTATTTAGATTTCTCAAAGAAATAAATTTTCTACTCTAGGAGTTAGTCCAATTTTGACACAGTTTGTTAATAGTGGTATTAATTGTATGAACATTATAGGTTTGTATTTTACTGTTCTGGATAATATGGTGCAAAACACTATATTACATATTGTAGCCTGCCATTGCATCATTAGCCAGGAAGAGTGAAACATGAAGTCTGAGCTATTGCATTTCTTGTGTTTCAGTGGTCTTGATTTGAGATCACAGTTTGCTTTGTGATGTTGGTAGTTCATTGGAAAAGGCCTTTTCTGTTTCCTTAACTTGGGAGAGCATGCGATGGAAAAGTTTTCTAGAAAAAGAAACGCATAGGGGTTTCAGAGTATTTAATTCATAAATCACCTGAGTTCTTTTTGAAATGTGGTTTTTACATCCTAGAGATCACCACTTGTTTAATCCTTGTCATAACCTCTACTAAAGGAATTGACATTTGTTTCATATTTCATCACTTACATGCATCTTGACATTTGGTGCGTTTTCCTTTTTCTCTTGCCTATAGACTCTACAAATAAGCTTCTCAAGGCCAAACGATCTACAAGTTTCTTTTTTGAAGAATGGTCTATCTTGTTGCACACAAGTATAAGTGACACTTTTTTAACTGACAAGTGCAGTGGTTGAATCTGGGTGGTTGAAAGAATGTCAGGCATGGAGGATGGAGCTGAAAAGTCAAACCCATCCACCCAACAAGAAGTTGTGTTCGAACCAAGATTTTTTGTTTTCATCTTACATTTTAGTTATATTACTGATATATTGACATAAGTTATCCTTCTGTTTGTTATAGGAGGAAGTTGTTAAAAAGAAATATGGAGGAATGATACCTAAGAAGCCACCTCTAATCTCAAAGGTAAGTCATAGTATTTGTCTGCTAGATTGTTACTGTGATTGGTGGCACAGTAAATATCAACATTTTTTTGTGAGTATTGCTTCTATCTGTGTTATAAACCACCTCTTTTGTTTTCAGGACCATGAGCGTGCTTATTTTGATTCTGCTGACTGGGCTCTTGGAAAGGTATTTTTGCTCTTTGTACTCTTTATGATTTCGCTGTAGTTGAAGTTTATACAGACATTATATTAGTATGATGATCACCTAAACCTTTATGATGGTTAATGATCACAGCAAGGTGCAGATAAGAAGCCCAAAGGTCCACTGGAGGCACTTCGCCCAAAATTGCAGGTATTTTGTCGCTTATGTGTCCTCTGAAGGAATTAATCATTTGTCTAAGGCTCTCGATTTTTCTGATAGGTTAATGATTGATGAAACAATTTATTTGACATAATTTCTTCTTTGATTGACATTTAAATGTGATGTTAAAGAGATCCTATGGTCATTTGGGATCATTTGATGTTTCAGTATTTATATACCTTTTGACTTTATGGTTGCATAAGACTTTAGTTCAAGAAATTTTGTTTTTGGTCTTTCTGGATTCTTTGGTTCACTTCTAATGTCTAACGTCTCTTTTGAACTTTTAATTCTAGCCAACACAACAGCAAACACGATACCGCAAGTCTCCTTGTGCTCCATCAGAAGGTGAAGGTAAGCAAGATGATTGATTTTGTTTATATACCGACTTCTTGTTCATGTAAATTAAGTTTTTGCTTTTGGGGGAAGGACCTCACAAAGCATTAACAGATGGAGATAGTTACTAAGTTGGGTTGTTCACTGTTGAGTTATAGTTCTTTTGTCCTGATAATTCTGAAAAGTTTTATGACCTTGTCTCCTGTGTCTTTCCTAGATGGAATTGCTCCGTCGGAGGATCCAACTGCAAATGAATGAGAAGGAGATGTTGACTCTTTGTCGAAATGTCATAAGCTGTTTACATATCTGCTCTTAAGAATTTAAAAAATAAAAATGATTCACGGGGTGTTTCAACTTTTACTCGAGGCTGGTATTGTGTTGCTGTAACATTGATGTAGGATATTTTTCTTATGCTGTCTAATGAAACGAGTTTCCTGTTTGGGTCTATCCATCCTTCCATGAATTTATTTTAGTACTAGCTGCTAAAATGATTATGTTACTATTATTATTTATTTACTTGTATTTGTGTTAGTATTACTTTAAGCATTAGTATTGGTGAATCCATGGTTTCAAGTTATGGTAGAATGAAATCCAAAATAAAATTAGCTATGCTTAGTGGTAACATGAAATTGGAACTTGAAGTCTGCTGTGTTAATTCGAGTGGTAACAAACGCATCTAGATTTTCTTTTATCCATGATCTCCAGCCAGCTTGTGTGCACTTCGATTAGTTTCACAAGGTAATTTCTACCTTTTACTAGTACAAATATTGCCAAGATTTGGACAGATGTGATGTAATCATAATTTTTAACCCCACATCATTGTCAATTAGGCACTCACCATTGTGTACTTGAGAGAATTTTATTGATTTCGCATATAATATGAAACATCCTAAGAATTTAAGGATAACACAACAAAGCATTACACTTTTGAATGATTGTAGTTGGAGCAGTGGTGTTCATTGATCCATAATAGTCCCTTCAGAATGAATCACAAGTCTAGAAATGTCTCCATGCCAATTATGGTAAACATTATGTCCATTTGTCTAGCAATAGAGATATATTCAACAATACTATAAGTCTCTATGTCTATTCGACGTTCTTTCCTTTTTTCAACAAAAATTAAAAGAAAGCGTAGAGTTGACTTAGAGCAAGTCAACAACAACTGCAAGTTTCACATAGACCTAAATACACTCTTAATTCCTTGTTCTTGCAAAGTCATTTCTTCCAAATCTCGAAAAACATTTATTCCATGGCTGCCAATATCCAAAACTCTGATATAGAAATTTGCAATGTCATTTCAGAATCAAAGAGAATCGCCACTTCCCAACGACGCCATTTCAGAGCTCTCTCTCTTCTCTTCTTGTTTCCTTTCTCTATTTTCACATACCTCTTTCTAAATTTCGAAAAAACAATAATCATTTCATTCATCTTAGCCTTATTTGTCATAATATCCGCTTTTTGTGCTGTGGCTACTATAACATACACTACTTTTCATGGATATAACGGTCAACCTATCGATCTTTCCTCGATTCTTTTCTCCATTTTCCCCTTGTTTCTTCCCTTTCTTTCTACTTTCACCCTTTTACTACTCATCGTGGCTTTAATTTCCATATGCCTTGGCCTTGTGTTCCTTTTGATCTCCAAAGGAATTCTACTCATGGGGTTTGACATGAATTTGAATTCATTTTACTTTAATTCCTATGTTTCAATCATGATTGTAGTTGGAATATTTTTGGACATGAAGTGGATGTTAGCAAATGTGATTATTGTGGCAGAAGGTAAAAGATGCTATGAACCTTTACGTAGAAGTGCTTATTTGATGAAAAAAGTGAAATGGGGGGTAATTTTGTCATTTCAGTTTCTCTCCGTCGCTCCGGTAGGGTTTTTTTTCTGGAATTGCGGCACTTTTTGGCTGATACATACCGGTGGTTGGAGTAAATGGTTGAACATCGTTTCTTTTGCAATGGACTTGGTGATTTACTCAGCATTTTTTACATTGTTCTTACTTCCTAGTTTGGTTCGAAATGTGATTTTGTATGTGCAGTGCAGGGCCCTATGTGGGGAATTTTTGGAAGACTTTTAATATTATAGGTTCAATTTTCTTGATTTTCCAAGTTTCATTGTCTTAAGTTCACATGTAGTGAGTGTGTAAGTGTATTATAATCACTTGACGAGCTATATACGATCTTTATTTAATTTTTTTTGTATTCGTTCTCCCTACAAGCTTCAACCGCACCCAAAAAATAAATAAATAGTAAGTGAGTGCATTTCTTCTTTTGGTCATAGTTTTCCTATTTGTTATGGAATCTTCAATTGTTGGTAATATGGTAAAAATATTGTAAAAGTAGCAAGATTGTTTATTTTTATCGTATTTCAACGTGAATAATTTGTATTTATTTTTTTAAAATAAAATTAATAAATATATGTGCGAATAAATTGATAATAGTACCACATGTTTTTATTTCTCTATTACTTGATTAAGAAGATGACATGTTGCAATTGGAACAAGACTGGTTCTTAATAATCTAATATGCTCAAACTAATATTTGAACACAATTTTGACCACTTATACGCGAAACATATATTTTGCTTTTCAATAAAAGATTTTTCAGGCATAATACATAAACTGAACGCTTAAATTTATATAAAGTTAAACAAGTAAATATATATCTTATATGAGTAAATATCTCAAAAGGTCACTCAAATATGTAAAATTATTTGAGAAAGTCACTCAACTTGATTTTATATCAATAAAGTCACTCAACTTATGGATTTTCTTTTATAAAATCACTCAACTTAAGCTATTTTTCTAGAAAATAATTATAACCAAAAGATAAAAGAGATAATTGCACAAACTATCCTTCAAGTTTAGTTTTGTAATACTTACTTCCAATATAGTTTATAATATTATGTTTATCTCTCTTATTTTATATAATTTTAAATAATTATTTTATTTTTAATAATTATTTTCTTAACCTAATTATTATTAACACAAAAATTTATGATTTAACTAAATTTTCCTTTATCATATATTATTTAATTTAAATAGTTATAACATCTTTTGTTCAAGTTATCAAAAAAATCTAACTTTGCAAAACAAACTCAATTTTTATTCTATATAAATATGCACGCCACACTAAATAATATCATATTAAACACTAATATCAAATATTTGACCCACAAATTAAAATGAAATTTTAATTCAAAATCACGCAAACAAAACTACTGGAGGGATATTCAAAAAGTAGCTAGTATCCAATATTTAGTTGAAATAATTTTTTGAAAAAACTTTTGCAAAGTGGGGAAAAAATGAATGGTTCTTTTTCTTAAAAACATCTCAGGTTGACGAAGGAAGAAAAAGAGTGAAGAATTCGGGGGCGGGGAAAAAGAGGGAAGAATTTGAGGGGGGGGGGGGGGGGTTACCTTAGCCTCATTTTATCATCCATGTCCAATTCCAATTGGGGTGGGAGGAGATGATTTGGTTTCGGAGTCATCGAATTTGGATTTATTTGATTAATTTTGATGTATTGGTGTATATGCATTTTATTATCAAAATAAAATATTAAATGTATATATGGATGGGTATAAATTATGGTAAAATATGATGAAACCCGAGCCAAGTTGAATTAATGGTTAATGCTTAGACAATTGAGTTGATATTAATTAAGTTAAGACAATTACTAAAAATAAAATAAAATAAGAGAAATAAGCATAATATTAAACTACAATAGAAGTAAGTATTACCAAACTAAACTTGAAGGGTAGTTTGTGCAATTTTTTTTTTTAATCTTTTGGCTATAATGATTTTTTAGAAAAATAATTTAAGTTGAGTGATTTTATAAAAGAAAATCCATAAATTGAGTGACTTTATTGATATAAAACCAAATGACTTTCTCAAATACTTTCATACACTTGAGTGACCTTTTAAGATATTTACTCTCTTATGTGTATTATGTCATATAAGATGCGTGAGTCTATATATTTAATTTTATATAAATTTAAATATATATTTATATATAATTAAAATTAAATGACATAACTGTTAGCGAAGATCACGTCAAAGAGAACGTATAAGAATATGCCTAAAATAAACAGATATTCAATCATAATTTTGTTTCTCAGGTAAAATTTAAATTTTTTCAACAACTATTTCCAAACTTAACTGAACCCCAAAACGGTTAAAGAAATTAAAAATAGATATATTAAACGATTCCATCACGTTTCCCAAGGATATTCCCTTAGATTAGGGACTTGATTGAGAAATAAAGTAATTAATAAGGGCTGTTTTGGAAAAAGAGAAAGTCACAGGGCCAGTGTGACACAAAAAAAAAAGTGACAGGGAAGACTAGGGTCTCTCACAACTCTTGAGGCAAAAAACCGGTACCTCATTGCTTTCTAAACTCGCCGGAGAAAAAGACGGAAATGCTCGCCGGTGTTCTCCGGCGTCCATAATCATTTCCGGCAACAACGTCATCCAGATCTCCGGCAGCAACAATGGCGCACCACAACAAAACGACGTCGTTGATTACTCAACAAGTTCCTCTAGTCATAACACTCAATTGCATCGAAGACACAACGTTAGAACAAGAATGTCTCTCCGGCATCGCAGTAATCGAACACGTCCCACTCAGCCGCTTAGCCGAAGCCCGGATCGAGTCAGCTACAGCCGTACTTCTTCACTCACTTGCGTTCCTTCCACGCGCGGCACAACGCCGGCTCCGTTCATGGCAGCTTATTCTCTGTCTCGGCTCCTCCGACCGCGCTGTCGACTCAGCTCTCGCTTCTGACCTTGGACTTTCTCGGCTTGTTCATGTAGATGTTAACCGCGCTGAAGAGGTTGCGGATACTGTTATGGCTCTTATCCTTGGTTTGCTTCGCCGTACTCATCTTCTCTCTCGCCATACGTTATCGGCTTCCGGCTGGCTTGGCTCCGTTCAGCCCCTGTGCCGTGGAATGCGCCGCTGTCGCGGCCTTGTACTGGGAATTGTTGGTAGATCTGCGTCTGCAAGGTCTTTGGCTACCCGGAGTTTAGCATTCAACATGAGCGTGCTTTATTTTGATGTTGAGGTAGTTAAATTGATGAATTCGGTTAAAAATGTCAACTTTTCAGACTAGATTTCACACTTCAACTGAAATATATCAATCAATCAACATGATCCTGCTATATTATGATGTTGAGGCAGTGAAATTGATGTATTTCGGTTTAAAATGCTGACCTTATGACTAGATTTCACAGCTTAACTGAAATATATCAATCAATCAACATGATCCTGCTATATTTTGATGTTGAGGTAGGAAAGTTGATGTGTTTCGGTTGAAGATTTCAAGCTCTATGAGTAGATATTTCATTGCTTAACTGAAATATATCACGTAAAACTACTAAAAGTTCACTTTGGGTGTCCCTGTATAAATAGCACAGTGAAGGGAAATATCAAAGCATAGTGAAGGGTTGCTGATTTAAGTATTAGTGTTTCATATCAATGCGTGCTAACAGTTTTTATTTCTTAAATGCTTACAGGGAAATGGAAAAATGAGCAGACACTCTATTAGATTCCCACCTGCTGCCAGGAGAATGGATACCCTTAATGACTTACTCGCTGCAAGTGACCTGATATCATTACATTGTGCTCTAACAAACGAAACAGTTCAAATTATTAATGCAGATTGCTTGCAGCACGTAAAACCTGGTAATTTTTTCTCTGGATATGTATCTGTAGTAGTTTCCTGTTGCCTCAATCCCACATTTCCCCTCTCAAAGGGGTGACTTGTTGATCATTTCATGCAGGGGCGTTTCTTGTTAACACCGGTAGTTGCCAACTGTTAGATGATTGTGCTGTGAAACAACTTCTAATAGAGGGAAGCATTGCTGGCTGTGCTTTGGATGGTGCTGAAGGGCCACAATGGATGGAAGCATGGGTATGATGAATAGTCTTAGGGTATGATTGAATGTTAGGAATATATTTGGTTAAATAGCTCTTTTGTTGAATTTCTGTCATTAATGGCATGATTGCTAGTAAATAATGGTGAGACTGAATTTTCTGTCCGATGTTTCTTCAAAATGTCTTTCTTTTGTGCAAGAGAGAGTGAGAGGCCAATTAATAGCTGAAGCTCTTCTACAAATGGTTTGCCCAGGTGAAATTCATAAACCTGTGAGGGATGTGTACTCATTTAGGAAATTATTGAGAAAGTTGGTTATTGCCTTACTGTGAAAGCTTGCTTGTTTGATAGATATTGTCCTGTAGTTTTGAGATTGAAAATTGGGTTGCACATATTGAACTGAATTAATTTTGAAGCACTTAGAATGAACTCTATTCCAAGGTGTTATAGCCCTAAGTCCATGCATGCTAGTGATTCTTATCCTTAACTTTTAGACCGAACTCCACCTGATGTATATATTCACTTAGGAACCAAAACATGTATGGGTGTAGTCTAGCAGGCATCCTTAATCTCCTGCCTCGTCAAGGTGTATGCCTTCTCGAACACTTGTTTTGGTGAGAGATTAATGGATAGAGAAGTGTTTCAGGATGCTGTTGAAATACTTAGTTGTTCTGAACTTTTTCTTTTTGATGACAAGGGAAACCCGCTACCGCTACCTTTTGGGTGCGCACAGTTTACCCTGCACCTATGCAATAGCTCGCAAACCACATAAGAGAGGTAACCCGCACTAGGCAAGCCCGGTGCGACGAGCTTTTTGTTATTTGTTCTGAACTTTTTGTTACTCCTTTATCTTGTTAGCTCCATAAATAAAGTTGGGGAAGAGATCTGGCATTTCATCTTCTCTTATGGATGATGCCAAGGTTATGATCCAAGTCCAACAACTTGAATGTTGTTGTTTTCAATTTTCTTTTGTTATTTCTTCTACTTCTGCAGTATTTTATATTGTTGCATTTGAAGGCCTTTAAAGTGATTCATTATAAAAAAAAAAGGCCTTTAAAGTAATTAGGGTTGTGACTTGTGCCTCATTGTGACATTTTTGCAATGCCTGCTCTACTTTCTAGAAATCTACCTGTCCAACAACAACATACCCCGTGTAATCCCACAAGCGATCTACTTGTCCATGAGTAAAAAATCTAATTCTCCTATCTGAAACACTGACTCTGATAATTCACTTGACTTCTGTAAAAATCTGTTTTTTTTCCTATAACTATCTTATATTTGTCCTTTTACAAATTTAAGCTAATAGAAAGAAAGGAGAGAAAAAACTCTGGACAATTTATAATTGTAGAGCTGTGTCGATACTATCAAATCTTTGCCCTAGTATCACTAACCAAAAGTAGTTTCTTGTCGATTTAGTATAGTCACGTTGTACAAATACTAAGTGGTATTTAATCAAGTTGTTCTGTAAGAAATTGTGTCGACTATGAGACACTATGAACTCATATATGTCTGATATTTGAGTGGGCCTGGTTAGACACGTGTAGAGTGCTTATAAAGATTTACTTTTTTGAATTTTAAGTTTTGTATACCCTTGGACTTCGAGGGGTGTGAAATCCTTTTTCTTTTTGCACCACTTTGTTTCTAATAGAGGCAGGGGATTGAGGATTATTAGGTGGAGATTGCCAATGTTTGTTGGTGGTATCTGTTTGTCACATCTGGATTCTTGGACTTATGTTAATTTAACATCAGCTATATTCTATTTTGAATATAGTCCTTGGTTGGTTTCTTTTAATTGACGTAAGTGGATGTATCTTTGGATTAGGTAAGGGAGATGCCCAATGTCCTGATACTGCCGCGCAGCGCAGATTATAGTGAAGAGGTGTGGATGGAAATAAGGGAGAAAGCTATTTCTATGCTGCAGTCATTCTTCTTGGATGGTGTTGCTCCAAAGGATTCTGTGTCCGATGAAGAAGAGGAAAGTGAGATAGGGTATGACAATGAAGTTCACCAAATACAAGATGTTGAAAGCGCGTTGCAGGGTTCTCCTAGTCAGCAGGCCATTGAAGATGTTGCAGAGAGCTCTCAGAAAAGATTAGCGAGTGTCTCGAGGGAATCACCTAGTCAGCTTCAAGGCTCCATGGTGTCTCAAAATAGTTCTGGTAGATCTGAAGTAAAGAGAAGCCGATCAGGTAAAAAGGCTAAAAAGCGGCATGGGCGCCAAAAATCACAACACAAAGTGGATGAGCACTTGGCATTTGAAAAGGAGAGTACGTCACACCATGAAGATGGGGCAACAATGAGCGGAACAGATCAAGGTGTGAGTTCCAGTTCACGTTTTGCTTCTCCGGAAGATTTAAGAGGTAGGAAGACATCAATTGAATCAATACAGGAATCATCAGTGGAGCAGCTATCAAAAAAAGGCATAAATCTCAGCAGAAAATCTTCAGAACTGCTGAAGGATGGTTATGTAATAGCTTTACATGCAAGACATCATCCCGCTTTGCATGTCTCCAGACAAAGAGTTAAAGGGGGTGGTTGGTTCCTCGACACAATGCCAGATGTTACAAAAAGAGACCCAGCGGCACAGTTCCTTGTGGTTTCTAGGAGCAAGGTATGCCTGAAAAGAAATTTTCTTTTCCAGTTGCGGTAGAGCTGCCCTCTACCTTCAGTTTGTGGGGAACTATCAGCATAGTGCTTTGGGTTGTGTTGAGGGTGTGGGTGAGGAGAACTAGGAGCCATTTGGGCAACTTCTGCAAAATGTTTGAAAAAATGTTTCAGAAAAAATTTGCGCAAAAAGAAAATATATGGATTATTGTAGTTCTTTTTGTGTGTTTTTGAGAGTAGAGGAACTCGTTGCCAACTCCCTCAAGCCACGTATAAATATATAGTTTCTTCTAAAAACTATTCTCAGAAACTTCTAGAAAAAAATTAAAAAATACATTTTTTTCGGCAATAGTTTTTTCAAGATTTCAAAAACATTTCCTCAAACAAATGCTTTGTGAACACATATAATGACTCTGAGGTTCTTCTCTTTCAGGATACAATTGGGTTGAGATCATTTACTGCTGGAGGGAAGTTGCTACAGGTGTGATTTATCACTGTAATTCTTGTTATAAGACATCGTTGACCAAACCATTAGGAAACTGCAAAAGCTTTGAAGTTAAATTGTTGCTTCTACATGCTAGGAACTTTAAGTTTGAGATCACTTACGTATTAATTCACTTGGACAAACATAAAACTCTGGATGAATAGTTCTTATATTTATTTCATCAGAATAATTCTTATTTTATATTTAGAATTTTTTTACCCCTCTCCGCAGAAGATGCTGTAGCTTTCCAAGTGCTCTTTGTTCTACATCCTTAATTTTGGTAGTTATAAAATACTTTCTCCATGTTGTAAGTTAGCATCAATAGCTGAGATAGAAATTCATTTCCATATATCTAGACCTTGCTGTTAAGAAGCTATTCGCTCCAAAATTTGAGGGAATTTTGTGTTGGAGAAGTTCTAAATTTGTCGATATAAGAGGTTAACATGTGCAGGTATTCAATAGGAATCAGAGATATTAGATTTGTTGCACCCGTTCTATTGTGGATTTCTAGCTTGCTTGATTTTATTGGTATTCATATAGAAGTGGTGATTTCACCTTGACCCCGATTTTGCAGATAAATAGGAGAATGGAATTTGTATTTGCAAGTCACAGTTTTGATGTTTGGGAGAGTTGGACATTTGAAGGCACTATGGAAGAATGTCGACTAGTTAACTGTAGGAATCCTCTGGTAAGTTCTTGTTCTGCTTCAGACATTCAGAACTCTAGCTCCCATGCCCCCCATTGCATGATAGTTACTTACTGTAACCATTTTGGTAATATGTCCCCAGTACATCTGTTTTCCCTTTCTTTGAACTGTGGTTTTTAATCGAGTGGATTACATCCATTGTGAGATCAGTTATTTAAGAATGCTTATTCTCTATCATCCACTTTAGAAATACCCAATATTTTGATGTTGCCATCACTGCAACCTGTAGGCTGTTTTGGATGTACGCGTTGAAGTACTTGCAGCTGTTGGAGATGATGGTATCACTCGATGGCTTGACTAGGCAGTTTCTTGAACCACTGCGCATGATTTTTTAACATATGCTGTGCTGATTCGTTTGGAATGTTTACCACAAGTAGTTTTGTAAAGCATTGAGTCTCCCTCAAAGCAAGAGTTGTAAGTTTTTAAATGTAACTTTCATTATTGCCTCCTGTCAGGGTTCTTTCTTTCCATGACAATGGCTTATTGTATTTTGAGGATTCAAAAATAGGCTTGCCTTTTGTTTTGACTGTTGCTTTTTTAATGGACATTTGCATGCTTTGCGAGTAATGAGTAATGTAGTATATAATGATACTTTATAGCTGTTAACTTAAAACCTTCAATCCCTGTAGCACCAAAGTTTTGTTCCAGCATAAGCAAATGATTATTACTAGGTAATTTCTTCTCATATATCTTAGACAATTCGTGTACACACATTTTGAATAATCCGTTTTATCCAACGAAAATCTACATGTATTATACTGGAAATTAGATATTGTACTTACTAATTATGCAAAACTTTATGTTGCAATTTGCAAACAAAATGTTAATATATTATTAGATAGTGAAATTTTATTTTTTAATAAAATATGTGGTCAATCAGTGATCCCTTAGCTCTACCTTTTATCTGTACCTAAGTTCTACCCATTAGCTATGTGTGAACAAAGAAGAAGGAATATGCCTTTAAAGCCAAATCACTAGTAAATAAATGATTCTCCCTCTATCCCTAATTGCTCCTTGCTTATAAAAAGATTTATAATGAGAATCCGTTGAAGCTTATTCAAGATTGATCTTTCTTATCCGAGAGTCTTGTCAAACTCTCTGTCACTGTAGGTGCAACATAGGTAGTAGTGACTGAAAGAGTTGATGCGGCATGATCGCGATTATAAGCGTCCTATTTAATTTAGGGATTTAAGGACTAGGCCTGTTGAGGAATTGAGCTCACTTGCTGCACTTCCTCCCCAAGGTCCGGTGCAGGGGACATGTGCAAAAGTCCTCTAAAGAAAGAGGACGACAGGGGAGAGGCCGTGCTTAACAAATGAGGACGGTTGTCCACTTTTCCTTTTTTAGTTGTCTCTAATTACTTGTTCAATTTGACAAATCAAGAAATGAATGTTTATACCTATTATACCCTCAATTAATTAATTTGAAAAAGGTAGAATTTTCTTGAAAATCTTAAGTTTCTAATTGAGGAAAGGCTCAAAATAGTCTGTCATCCTCAAAGTCATCCTTGAGTTTTCACATGGAGCACTAATAGTCCCTCATGTTTGCAATATTGGTGCACTTTTGGTCCTCCTCCAAAATTTTGCGTATTTTTTAACATTGATTTTATCCATAACTTATGTATGAGATATTCAATCGTCATTTTATATATTTAGTAGAAATAATAACTCCATATGAGAGAATATGAGAACACACCTTGTTTTGTTTAGTAGAAATCGTATTGCAGGTAAAGTCGAGAGGTTCATCACGATAATTTCACGTGCAATAGTATAAATTTTTTCTTTTCTTCCAACGTTATATGTTAAGATGTTCTTAGTTTAACTGCAGTAATATTTCTGCTGAACAAAACAAGGTGTTCTTCTTATCACCTTCTCTCACATAGAGTTATTATTTCTACTAAATATATAAAAAGACGATTGGATATTCCTTACATGAAATTGTGAGCAAAATTAATGTTAAAAAATAGGCAAAAATTTAGGGGAGGACCAAAAGTGCACCAATATTGCAAACATGAGAGACTATTAGTGCTCCGTGTGAAAACTCAAGGATGACTTTGAGCCTTAACCCAAAAATGAGGGACTATTTTGAGCCTTTCCTCTTTCTAATTCATCCACTTCATAATTAATAAGGGTAAAATGATAAACTCACCATGTCAATCATTGTTTTTTCTTAATAGGTGTGTCAATTCAAAAATAAACATATAATTAGAGACAGAGGGAGTAATAATTGGAAAATTGATTAATCTTTTTTTACGTAGGGTGAAGTTTTTTAATTTTTTGTAGATGAGGTCGTGTGGTTAAGGACATCAATAACATCATATGTAACATGGATAATCCTAATTGAAATTTTGTCAGAAATGAATTAATACTAACCTAAAGTTTTAAATTCAATCTTCTTATTTTAGATTACAAGAGGGTAAGAATGAGACAATCAATTAGTAGATTTATGATAGGCTAGGGCACGAAACTACTAAAAGAAATAAATAATGTAGCGATTCATATTTTCTACAATGAAGGCAGGCAAGCTGACAATAAGAATTATTGTAGCTTGCCCAGAATGTCCATATATACCAAGAGTTTATTCACTTAACCAAAAAAAGAGTAAAAAATCAAGTGGAAAGGCTATCAGCTGACGGCTTCTTTGTGAAGCGTGACTATATCTTTTTTTGGTTTTTCAACTCCCTGCTAATTTTTTTTCTATATCCCTAGCTATAACTCGAGACCTCTGATTAAAAAAACACAGTCTCATTCACTACACCACATATTTTGATTGATAATGCATCAGCGTGAGTCACGACTATATCTTTTAAAAGAACAAGACCAAATAAGATTAAAAGGCATACTTTGATTGGTGATGCGTGACTATATCTTTTAAAAGAAAAAGACCAAATAAGAGTAAAAAGCAAGGACAAGCGGTAGAAAGGAATGGTAAATTGTTTCACCCTTAACAAAATGTCTCAAGTTCAAGTGAGAAAATTTTGTTGGGAGTGTGTCACTCTTGGATGAACCCTGCAACTCCCGAATGAATCTCACAATGTGCAATTTAAATTTAATCAGTGTTCCAATGTAGAGTCCGAATACGAGACGAAAGAAAGGGTGGGGATGAATATAACTTTTAAAAATGTGTGGTTATTATAGAGTAAGTATGGTCCCCACTGGTCATACTTTTATGATACACACAAAATAAAACTTTCTAGAACCTGCCTTGAGAAATGCAAAACTCATTTCCACCTTCCAATTAATTACACGTGGACGTCCATGATCACAATTTTCCCTCCATTTGCAATAATGTCGGTTAATCATCTCTCTTCTTATATATATACACATTTCTCTGTGTAACTTCAATAAATTTTCATTTCATAAACGAAACAGAGCAGAGAGAACACTCAAAAAGCTGAAGTTTCTGTTTCTATATTGATACATAACATATGGTGTCTGTATATCCAACACCGCCGGGTCAAAATTTTCACTACATGGGGGATCCGATGAAAACGGGTCTTATGGGTTTGCATCCGGTACAATCGGGTACTAGTATACATGGGAATTTGAATTTGGATTCGAATACAGGTTTGGGAGTGGTGGTGTCCGATGATCACAGCAAGAAGACACGGAAGCCCTATACGATTACTAAGTCTAGAGAGAGCTGGACTGAGCAGGAGCATGACAAGTTTCTTGAAGCTCTTCAATTGTGAGTCTCTCTCTGTTTTTATTTTAGCTCACGGCACTTGTTTGTGTTTTGCTGTTTTGTGTGTGGTGGATATTACTAGTTGTTATTGTTGTGGAAGTTGAACAGGACTAGATAAAAATGGAAGCTTTGCACTTTTTAGGTTATGTTATGAAATGGGAAATTGTTAAAACATTGGGGGTAGGTGAAGGGGAAATGGGGAGGGGACAAGGATGGACGCAGGAGCTCTGAATTAGGGGGGACGAGGATCAACTTTTAAGTTATATACATCTGCAAAGTTGCCATGAGGTGTAACAGGGCCAATGAGGATTCATATAGCCAATCCCAATTTGCTTGAGATTAAGGTGTAGTTGTTGTTATATCTGGTGCAAAGTCATCCTAGCTATTGAAAAAATTAGCTAGTCTTAATTATATACAGCACCATCTCCTGACCAGCTTCAGTAGATCGAAAAGTAGGAACCAAGAAGCAAAACTCATTATCTCATATTTTTAATAAATCTCACTCTCCTTAATTGTCATTGATGGTACATACTTGTTAAAATCAAAGCTACATATCAGAGGTAAGGAGAAACATATAGGCCGCATTATAAATGCAAAGTCTAGTCCTGGTAGCGTTGACTTTGAGTAGGCTATCAAAGCTACTTACTAGTAAGAAGAAAAACAAAACCAGTCTATACTGGATGGTAACAATCTTTTGGGGCTTGGCCAAACTTCAATGGAGGGAAAAGTGGGAGCTGAGAAGAAAAGTTCCCCATCTGATGTTGTCATCGATGTTATGCACTTACTATAATTAAACCTTGATAAGTGTAAAGAGAAGTCTTTCAAGTGTTTATTCTTTCGTAGACTATATTCAACTTTGCCACTGTAGTAAGCTATGTGCCAACACTTGTGACCTCTAGCTGAACAAGCTAATAAGAAATCGAGGCTGGGATAGTTTTCGAGGTTTAGCTTTAGGATCATGGATAGTATCTATTCTGGAATCTCAATTCAAGAGTCATGGAAAATGCATATCCTAAATTATTGTGACTTGTTCTTTCAGGTTCGACCGTGATTGGAAAAAGATTGAAGCATTTGTTGGGTCGAAGACTGTTATCCAGGTAATTTGTTAGTCAGATGGCTCTTATTTGTTGACTTATTTGTTCTTTTTTGTGGCCTGAAAGAATATCTGATATCTGATGTGTTCTGTAGACAAAATAAATAACGTTTATCTTAGTTATCTAGCGAAAATTTTCCTTCAGATTGAGAGTGTATTTTTATCCTCAGAGAAGTTAGATCCTAGTTGTGCAACATTTGCTTTTCTTGAATTGACCAACTGTGTTCTACTTAATTATGCAGTTGGTGATTTAGGGTAGTTTGTGTTTCTCCTGTTCTCCCTTTACCTTTTCAATGTGTGTGAATTGTAAGCACAAAGAAATGTGTGTGTAAGAAACAACAAAGACGGTAAAGAAAACTAAGGATGGGAGTGGACTCTGGACCGGAAGGATGGTAAAGTGAGTGGTAGTCAAAGTGATATATAAACAAATGAAAGTAAAATCTAGGTATGAAAATGTTGTGTAGGGAGATACAAAATGTTGGCAGTACTTTCTCTTGGATACTGAGGGGAGCCACCTCTTATTTCTTGTTTAAAATTAGTCATGGTGTCCCAGAATGTGACTTAAGTATCTCTCACCTGGATGCAGATATATTATCATATTTCCTCATCTCCTACCTCTCTGTTTAACTACCAAGGTATGCAGGATAGAAATTTTTTTGTGGGAACGCCCAATGGCTTTCTTATATGTCAATGAAGACTTAAATTCACCCAAAACGTATGTATATGTATGTCTATACATACATATAAGCAATTTTCTTATAACTGTTCGACAAAACTATTCTTAATTATG